AAACCTCCGTTCTCAGTCGCTCGTTTTAGCGTCAAATGTCTTCTATTGCTGCGATCTTGCCCGTGCGTGCCGTGTACCTGCATGTGACACTCATTGAAGTGCTTCTGCACGGCAAGTTGTTCTGTCGGTGGCCATGGAAATTCCCTGACGTGACTCCTAGGTTTTTATTCTGGCCTGTTTTCCCTGACTATCTACGGGATGAGTGGGAATATCATTATCTTCCTAGACGGAGCGAATTAAATGAAATTTCTAGTCTTCAAAAGGGGGTTGCATAACCCCAACCTGGCACTCGTGGCTGCGATAGTTGGCATGTACATCCTTTCCACCATCAATGTTGTTTGCCGCTGGGTTCTCATTTGCAATGCCTTCATTGCAAATTCGGACAGCCCCGCTACCACGGCTCTCTATCTCCTTCAACCTCCGTTGGGGTTGGCCGTTTTGGGCGGCACAGCCTTCACAACCAACACCCTCCTTTCGGATTTTGTGCTGGTAATGTGTCACGTTCAACAGAGTCTGCTCTAGATACTGATAAGTATTCAATATTCAGATTTGGAGATGTTGGGTCGTGTGGAACCGGAATTGGAAAATAATTGTCCTCCCGTTTATTTGCACATGTGTCGGCGCAGGTGATCACCAATACTTTGAAGCCATGCTATAGCTGAACAGAAACTCACAGGTCTTGGATACAGAAGCGTTGCAGCACAGGCCGCATACATTATTAACCCACATCTGGACAGAAGCAGATTTGTCGATTTTAGAACCCCTTATTTTGCCCTCTCCCTCTTGACGACATCATTGGCGATCATCTTTATCGTCCTCAGAATTATTACGATGACCGATCCCACTGTGAGAAAAGCCGGCAGGTACAGACGTGCGATCGAAATCCTGGTTGAGTCCGCAGTGTTGTACTCCGTCGCTCTCATCGTCCTCCTACCCTTCCTGGTTCAAAAATCCTCCTTCAATAATGGCTATCCGCACGCATTCGTCGCTCAGCTCACGGTGATCCCACACAGTGCAAGTACTGTCATTATCTTACCTTATATGATGCAGGGTATTTGTCCAACGTTGATGGTCGCCCGGGTATCCTTTGGCCATGCTCGTCCGGATGAAACGTGGCAGGGGCAGCGCACCTCTGTTGTATTTACTCAAAGCGTCCGGCTACAGCCAACCCATGCCAACTCTTCCTCATTGGTAGCAATGGATTCTTCGACTGCGATGGGGGAATCGGAATCGGGAGGTATGGAAGAAACGAATTTGGGTGGCATCCCATAGGCAGTTGATACGCAACAAATGAACGAGAAAATACCTAATTTTGTTACCTATTAAGTACTATGATTCGGCTGCAACATAGTATCCTGGTATCGGGGTGGTCCATGAATGACGAGACGACGGCGGAGACAGCTGTGTTTATATGATTGCGCCGGCCATCCATGTCTTGCGTTTTCGCGGACCCAAGAAATGTTCTTGCTTCCAGTGCCAACAATTCTCAAGAATAAGGAAGAGTCTAGAACGAAATCAAAGCAACCGGGTCGTGCGCGCCCGCGGCCAGCCATTCCAATGTGAACCTGTCGGCCACATTCACCGTATGCATTGCAGGGAGACCCTCTCGGCCGGTTCTCGACCAGTTCAATCCACTGCCCCAAGCATGTAAGGCCTCATTTATCTGCACGTCCCCGCAGTCATTCCTTCCCTGTGGGTAGCATCTTCCGGTAGGTGGTGCAATGGTGCGCTGATTATATCGCTGATTTGCGTGCACATAGTCTCTGGGCTCGTAATTGGTTCGTGACATCCCGTTGGGTGCTTTTTGTGATGAGGACATTATATGACAATCGAGGTGGCGCTAATATTCCTCGGCTAGACCCCGTCGCATTAGCAGGCAAAGGCATTGAACTTGCTCTTTCGACGGTACTGTCTGACAATGAATTGCAACCTCGCAAGAGCATATTCTTCAAGGTCCACGCTGATGAGTAGGCCCCGCCTGACTGCCGTTTGTCACCATCCTAGCGACAATGAAGGAGACGGTGCAACGTTTGCTAGTGGAAGAGGAGTAGGTTTTCATCCCCCCTCCATTCGTCGTCTCTTTAATTGGATTTCGCAGGGAAAATGCTGGCGAGTCTGCAAAACCAATCGACAGTGAACTGCAGTCTCGTGGGATATTTTTTATTTCCCCCAACCACGCCGTCGATGGGTGGGTTTTGAATTCTCGATCACCCCCTTGGTATCTGTATTTAGGGACGATTGTAGCAATATCGCCGTGGATAAACTCGTAGCTGTGGATGGACAGGCGGGGTGTTTGTAACGAATTTCATCCTAGGTCTCCGCAGTAAACGACATTCACGGCTCTCGATCAAATTTATTCTCTGCCATGCCTGCTAGCTACCATGTGCCTGATATTGAATGTGTTCTAAATTAGCCAGGGACTCAACACTATTTATCTTGGGCTCAGTTCTGTACGCAGACTGGTGGCTGTACAGTTGTGAGTGTAATAATAAAAGAAAATCTAAACAAATCAGAACGAATTCTAGGTTTGATTTTTGTTTCTACACTCAAAAGTGTACAGCCACCAGTCAGCGTACAGAACTGAGCCCAAGATAAATATGGTGCACCAGTATTAAAGTTGATTCGGTGGATGATTTCCCGTCAATCCACGAGGGCATTTGACCGTCCTAGGGTACAAAATGTGGTCCACTCCTCTCAACATCCCAACTTGAAGTCCACATATATTTATCAAGCATTGGAACCCGGGCGTTTCTTTTTTAGTTTCAACGTGCAGTTCATTTCACCGACCAGATAAAGCGCAAATTAATTAATTCAAATACAGCATATTAACGCTGGAAGAGCGCTGTGAACTCAACTTGAACGTAACGATGATCTCCTTGGTGACCTTTGCCGAGACTCACAACACGTACAATCACTTACAGGACCTAAATTCATGACCGCGCCTTTTTCTTTCACCACGACCTTCACCTCTTTCAACGCATAGAGGGTAAGAACCCACGCCGCTATTAACTCCTTAGACTGAGCATCGAAGCTTTCAACCATTTACATAGACCTGCCCCCCTCACGGGTGACGACACGCTTCGCCGATGGTCCATTCCGAGGACACCGCGAGCAGACCTTCGCGCTCGCATATCCGCTCCCGTATTTCTGGGCTAGATGCTCACATTCTAGCTCTCGAAGAATACCTTGTTGTTGCGCGCCGCGAACGGGAGAACCTGCAGTCGCAACTGGACGACTGCAAATATCCCATCCTCACCCTCCCCCTCGAAATAACTTGAGAAAATGCTGCCGCACAAATTCAACCAGTGGAACCACTGATTTATCTCCAGTCATTGATTCTACGCGACGAATGCAGAACTGTAGGAGGGGCGCAAAAGCTGCTGCTCGATGCGCTTACCATTCCAGCTGTCCGACATCTCACAGTTTCAGAGCGCGAGCTCGGCCCTGATTATTTGTCGACTATCACGTCCTTTATCACTCGATCCCACTGTACCCTCAAATCTCTCAACGTTGGGGTAGTCGGTCTGGATCCTCTGTCGGTAGCTGCTAGCTGATCCCGCAATGTCGCGATGCTAAGGATGGATGCGATGGCAAAAGCCAAGAATGTCTGTGTGTCTAGTGACTAATCGCCAAAGCTACAGCCAAACATGCTACAACACACTACCACAATAGACCTTTGAAGGAGACATACGGTTGGTTGAAGCTGTGGCCATGAGCCTCGTCAAATTTCCCCCAACATTTATCGTTGGCCAAAAGAATTGGGGGAACCCGGGTTGTAATATTTCTTGTTCCAGTTTTGGCGCCATGTAAAGGTTCAGTGAACGGGTATATAACCCTCGTCTATTAATGGTAAATTACCCATCAGCGCTTTGCGTGAATAACACAAGATTCATGGGAGACTGAGGTTCGAATCCTCCTGAGGGTATGATGTATTTCCTTCTGTGTTTTCTTTTTCGTAGTGCCTAAAATCGATTTTCGGAGGAGCCATTATATCGTGGTTCAAATAGAGGTATCTAAGCCCACGTTGATTAATGGTAAATCACCCATGAGCGCCAAGATTCATGGGGGACGGAGGTTCGAATCCTCTCAAGGGTATCGAAGAGCTGCAAATCTTTTTTTTTTTGTCGCGTCGGGTAAAATCGATTTTTGAATCAGCCATATCCTGGTTAGAAATACTGAATATAATCCCTCGTTGATTAATGGTAAATCACCCACCGACTTTGGGTTATTCTTGAACAACATAAGGCTCAGTGGGAGACGGAGGTTCGAATCCTCCCCAGGGCATGAATGACTCGTTGAGATCTTTTTATTTTTGCTATTATCACACACACCATCCTGCTAAATGGGCGACTTCTGAAGTGTATGCAAGTGTGCTTGTCCGCATTCAAACAAAGATGGACCTCGTTTGAATGAGTTGCTTGCACGGTCGCTGTACTTGTTTTCTACCCAGCTACATATCAAAACGGAGCGAGCTCTCGCGGATTAATCATCCACCGACAACCCCACAGGATGAGAAGCAGGATGCATTCTTGTCGTTTCGTCTAATACAAATCAAGGTTGATTTAATGCTCATCAACCATTAGAATTTAAATCTGAGGTCCTGCCACGCTCTTCGATCTATTTTTGTTGTGTCTTTGTAAAGTCAAATTTTGAAGGCACTATATCTTGGTTCAAATTAGTGTATATAAGCCCCTGTTGATGAATGGTAAATCATCCACTTGCGTTTAAAGACGGCCGCGAGAGTTAGGCTCGTGAAAGAGGGAGGTTCGAATCCTCCCAGGGGCATGCGGCAGGGGAGAGCTTTTTTCTGTGCCCAACTTGACGGAGAACTCCAATAGGCATGTTCAAGTGACCCTTGCTAAAAAAAAAAATTATTAATGGCTACTCGTTCGCGCGCATCCTGATATCACAAGAGTGAATCCGAGTTCGGGCGGGATGTTTCTTTTGAGCAGAGTGAGTTTTGAAGGCCTCATGCCAAGGGTAATTGAAAAGATATAAAAGCCCTCGTTGATTAAATGGTAAATCGCCCCACCACCCATACAAAGGTTTGAATACTGTTGAGTGGGAGACAGAGGTTCGACTCCTCTCGACGGCATTCTTATTGTCGATTTCTTTTTTGGGCTCTACAAAGCTACTATTAATTTCCGGCGCTTCTCTCACAATTCGTGTCCCCTCTCTCATATACATAGTTAATTTTGCAATCGTTCCACCATCGGCCAAAGCGGACCGACCGGCCCCAGGCTCCGATCATCCTTGCATCACATCACATCACGTGGCTACCAACCAGCCTGCTTCCTGCTGCCACTCGCCGTGGTACACTGCTCTCTGGGGCCACTGTACACTCTCTCCGCTGAGATTCAAAGGGTCTGGAACTCAGGGGACTTCTTTTGACTCCTCTGCTACTGCGATCTTGGGTATCGAGAGTCGAGAACCACCAGCCCTTTTCCCGGTCTTCCCTTGTGGCTGTAGATCCGGGGAATCGAATAATACGGGCTTCTGATCCAATTCTTGCCTGGGATAAAGGCTTGGGACCTCAGTGAATCACCCTACGAATATTTTGACCTCGGGCCTCGGACACGGAAGCGTCGGGATGGCGGCTGGGGACAGCGCAAGAGTCGGACCAGATCACGTTTCCACATCTACTACACCAAGCTCTTCCATGTCCTCTATGCCGCCCGCGCAGCAGAGTCAATAGGCAAACCCTGCGACCGCGAGGGTGGATAAGTGGGTGTTATCTCTATTGTTATATTGTCCACAAATTTTTTTCTGACTTGTCACGGGCAGTTCAACCTCGAAACGCCGCTCGCAACGGCCCCGCCGGCGGAGCTGGACGCTTATCGTGCGCTGTCCTCCGCTCCTCCGCCGCCTCCACCATTAGCGCCGGGTGATAGTGATCCAACGCCCACAAATGACGCAGCAAAGCCCTCGCGCTCCAAATCCTCCTCGCTGTCCCACCAGCGGGCGGTGGCCTCGCGCTCGTGCATGCCGTATCCCGCACGCGTGTCGAGCCCGAGCCGCGCTGGGTGCTGCTCGAGGAGTGGGTCCTGCGCTTCGCGTCGTCCCCGTCATCGTCTGCGTCCTCTGCGTCGTCATCCGCATCCTCGACGTCTAGCACCGACAACGGGGGCAGAGACGAGGTGCTCCTGCCCACGATCTACAAGAACGCGATCCCGCTGTTCCGCGCGCTGTTCGCGCTGCTGCGCATCCTCCCCGCGTGGCGCGTCGTGCGCAAGCTCGCGGGCCGCGGCGCGCGCGCGGGGGATGGGCGTCGGGATGGGGATGGGGATGGTGGGAAACGGCGGGGGGGAAGGGCATGCGCGTCGTTGTGCGGCTGCGGCCTGACGACGACGGCGGCCCAGGGTGGAGAGTAGGAGGCGGGAGGTCGCGAGGTGCGGGGCGGGGGAGACGACGCTGGAGTTTGGGGAGTCGCCTGCGCCGCAGACGGGGGCGACACCATTTCCGACGAGTACGCATGTTTTTCCGGGGATTGCGCATCCTGCTGGTGAGTTTGTTTCTCGTTTCTCTCTTCTTCCCCCTTCCTATTCGGCTCCCGCTCTTTCCATCCGTATCCGCCCATTTCATTCCTCCCTGCTATTATCATACCTTCTGTTTCCCCCTTTTTTCCCCCATTCTCTCCCTTCAGCAGTCCCTCCATTCCTCTTACTATCCTTCTCTCCTCACTACTCTTCATGCTCACCGCGTTCCCTTCGCCTTCTCGTATTGTCTCTTTCGCATCGCGCTCTCCATCTACCCTCATTCCACCCTCCACCTCCTTCGTTTTGACTCGGTTCTCCGACACGAGCGTCTTTGTCCCCCTCTATCCTCTTCCTCGCCTCCCGCCCTCCCGCCCTCCACCTTTATACTCCCATCCTCAGCGTCTTCATCCTATCTTATCGCTCTCACATATGTGAGAGCGCGTGTCCCTTATCCTTGCATCATTGCAATTCTGCCTCCGCCGATCGAGGTTCTGCCCCCTGTCGCAACGTCGATCTTTACCTCGTTTCCCTACTTCTTCCCCTTCCCTATTCCATTGCCCCTTCTGCACGACACTTCTTTGCGCATCACGATTCCATCTCCCCTCTACCGCCTTCCGGGCCCGCACTGTCCACCCCCTGTCCCTCCCTCCTCTCCCTTCCGCCTGTTCTCATCGCTGACTCCTCCATCCCAGGCACCCTCACCCTCTCCACAACATACCTCACCACGCCCGCCTTCCCCCTCGAGTCGCTCGAGGCCCTCCTCTCCTCGCGCTTTGCCGTCCTTGACGCGCACGACACCACCACAACCGCCTTCAACACCGCCGCCGCCCCCGCGCGCCGCCCCCTCCCCTCCTTCTCTTCCTCCCCGTCGTCCCTCTCCTCGCGCGCCCGCGTGCCCTCGAGCACCTCCCCGCCGTCCGCGCACACGCACTTACCCACAGCCGCGTCCCCTCGAACACCTCGCCCCCGCCCAGCCCCTCCGCGCGTGCCAGCTCGTTCCCGCGCGGCCTCACCGCGCACAGCGAGCAGGCGCAGGACGACAACGCGGACGAGTTCGTGCCCACGCTCGCGCGGCGCTCGATCGCGGCGTCGGGCGGGTCGGGCTCGGGCTCGGGGTCGCCCGCGTCGTTTGGGGCGCTGCGCGGCTCGGGGGGTGCCGGTGGGGGCGTGGGATGCGCGCACGGGTGGACTCGACGGGCGGGAGCAGGCCGCCATCGTATCGCATGGGGGTGCACGTCTCGGGGTTCAGTGGGAGCGGGAATGCGGGCGCGGGGGTAGGTTTGGGGGCAGCGGGAGCGCGGACTTGGTGGACCGGTTTGTGCTGCCGAGGAGTGGGGGGTTTATTGGGGGGGAGGGCTCGGGATTTCAGGCGGGGAGGAGAGAGAAAGGGAGGGGTCGGCAAAAGCAATTCGCTCAACTCAACGGGCAGTCATTCAATGTCATTGATCTGAAGCAGTTTGCGATTCAACGTGGCGCGATTGAGAAGAAAGAGTCAGGCAGCCTGGATGTACTTGCTGACAACCTTCTCGGTGCTTATCTCTCCAGAGACAACTAGGTTATTTCAAAAAAAAAACAAGCCTTCATTGCACCACCCACACTGCGTCATCAAGGACTCTGATTAAAAATATGATCTCTTCGGATTCTGAAGGTTCCACATCGGCCCCATGCCTCCACCAAAAATGGGTACCCTCGAATATGAGGTTCCAAAAGTGGCAATACTCCGCAGTATGGCCAGAATTGGGTCGTTTCACAGATCACCGCCAAAACTCTGCCACGCACACCCTCCCCCCACACCCGAAAACAACCCCTTGCCCCTGGCTCCCGCCAAATCGAGCAACCCGTTATCTGTAGCCCATATATGTGGGTCCATGCTCCCAAATCCCGGTTCAAGCGTGCCAGTATTGGCCCCGCCACAGTCCAATATATCCTCAAGTCTGAAATCCCTCCGGTTCACCTTAATTGGTCTGCAGCACAATGGAGAAAATTCGTAGTTCCAATCTTTTGGCGTAGAATAATAGCCCTCATTATTCTAATCATCCCGACCCCCGACATCACTTCTTTTGACCACTCCAAGCCTTCTCAACAGGTTCAACAAGTCAAAAGGCCTTTCTTGTGCCGTTGGAATTGAAACCACCAGATTCCGGTGACATCACGCAGCTCCGCAAGAATTGTTTACGGTTCGGGTTTCTCAGCTACCTACCAACTGCACATACTGCCACCAACTGCGGATCCTGCGCCTCCACTGCGTCCCAGCACTGGCCGGCTACTGCCGAACAGCTCCGCACTCACTACACCAATACGCCCGCCGCCGCACTCTTGCCGGCAAGTGCCGAACACTAGGGGAATCATGTGTTGAGGGCATCACTACAGGCAAATTTCCACAAAATTCCGCATTTAATCGAGCCACGACATGGTACTGTTCGAAATTTGCGAGCCACCCATTTAAATAATAATATACCTGATGCAGGAGAAGGACTGGATACGGCGCAATTTCCGTGTGGGTGGCAATCTCCATTCATCGTGCGTGTCGTTCAAGAAATAATGCATCGCCAACTTCGCCGAGACGTGTCTTCAATTGCGCCTCACAGAGTACCCTAGCCCCAAAATAAACAGATAGCCCCCCCTATCCAAAGAATAAAATACGTAGGAAATGCACCTTTCAGTAAAGATATTATAGTTACTGAAGTACAATGGCGTCGGAGCTGTTTATTTTTGCATCGTGATCAGAGCCCCTGTACACACCCACCCATGTAAAAACATCGCCTGATGCCATTGTAAAAATGCTCCTATGGAGCCTTTGATTAATACACTAATTGGACATGCATTTTCAGTAAAAATATTGTATAGACCAAAGTACACCGGCCTGTTTTTTTTTTTGTATTACAGTCAGGACCACCGTGCGCAACGACTGATCACAAGACATCGTAGAGATGGCAGGAAAAGAGTGTCCTGGCTAATTTTTCAGTGTCGAGAGGGGGAACCCCATGCCTAACCCCGCAGCAAACATCTCGGCAATCGGAGGTGACTCATGGGGCGACACATCACCCAAGGGGTAAATACCCTAGGTCTGGATTCCCAGATCAGATATATAGGTACAAGCTGGGATGTGCTTTACCCAAATGCATCACATTATACTTTATTTTCCCCAAGTACAATGTACTGAAGAATTTTGGCCAAATGTGGTGCGCGCTGGGGGGTGCTTTACCCAAATGCATCACATTATACCTTTTTTTCCCCACGCCTAGTCGAATTAAGGTCATACATCTGGTCTACCTAATGTATCATTAATATATATATTCCACTTCATATGAATATCAATGAATCTGTGTAGTTCCCCCTTCACCAAGCCCAGACGACAACCATTCCTTTTACAACAATATCCAACGCAGCAGTAAGACCAGCAATGGATGGCCGAGCATCGGTCAATGTGTTTCCACCGGCAACCTTTAATTTCATCAATTAGCTTGTTTGCACTCCTGCACTGCTTGCCCTACCTTCGAATAAATCAGGGCTTGAACACTGTCTAGCATCATGACATGCATTTTTAATCAAACTTGGTCGGGCTTTATCTACCACACGGAACCAGCGCCCCTCCCTTTCCGACGAATCCAACTTTTCT